CTTTTTAATGTCCAGTCTATCTACAAATAGGTAAGCAGCAGGCAGACCATTTCTAGTGGGCACTGAGAATCCTCTATTTTAGCATCTTTTAACCAGTTTCTAAATTCTAATTTGTACTTACACCTTGAAGGTAGGAGACAAGGATGTCAGTTCTTTACTTCTCTCTTTATCTTCCATGCTTTTTTTACAAGAAAAGCTGGTACCTTTAGCCCTGCAGTTGTTATATTTATATTGTCATCTAGGTTCTTTCTCTTAAAGCTGTAAGAAAGATTAAGAAAAAAAAAAAACCTATGCATCAGTCTCAATTAGAGGTCTGTCTAGCGCATCGGTAGAGCAGATTTGTTGTTGTTGCTCTTCACACAACAATCCTGTTGCACATTTCACAAGGAGCATTTCTGCTTTCGCAATAGTACCACGTTGTTGACTCTTTATAGTAGAGTTGCTATGCCCTTGCAGATCCTCCTTTTTCTCATGTCTGTTTTTCTGCACTTACGTCCTCTCCAAGTGTATTTTTCTCTGTTTTATTGAATTTCGTTCTTCGTTTTTGGGAGGGAAGGGAGGAGGGGACAGGAATCTTTTTCAAATTACTGAGATGAGAATTGAAAATTATCTTGACTTTCTGAATTCTTGCCTCTCATCCCTGATTGCTTTCATCTGCCAGTGTCATAAGTTATCTCTGTGCAAGTTATCAAATTGCTAATGGAAATACTGTTATCCTAGGGAAGTGTGAATAAAATAGACTAATTTACATGTTTCACATTATCTGTAAGAGCATTTATTACAGTCATATTTTTGGGGAAAAAATATACCCACAGAGAGCAGGTAAAAAATTGAACAGCAGTAAGTAGAGCACAGTCAGTGTGAGAGTGAAATTTACTTTTCCTCATGTGCTCCGTGACACTGGTGTTTGGGCAAGAGCACTAGGCAAGGCTAATAAGGAGCTGGCTGAATTGAATGGAATTCAGCCCCGGACAGAAATCTGGACTTCGCTCGGTGTTATCTCAGCATGACAGCATTAATCACAGTGGAATATTGTTAAACCAGTTATTTTACTTGCCTCGGAGTTTCTTCACATCCTGATTCTAGGAAGAAACTGGCCTGCTTGATGACCATCCTAGCTAATACGTGAGCACGAAAAGAGGCTAATTGTAATGTGTTCAAAAATTTATATCAAGTTGCTTCTTTTAAAGCAAGTATCTGTTGTTCTAGTGATTATAGCTGGGTAGTTGTAGTACATTTTAGAAGATGCATAACAACTATATGACGGTATATACTGAATTTGTCAGACCTGTGTTAAATCTGTCATCCCTTTTACCACACAGTTTAATCAACAAATGGAGCAGCAAACTGAAAATCCCCAAAGACTGGAACTGAGTGGTTAGGATGGAGGATGGGGGTAGAACATGGCCTTCTGCCTGGTCTGTAAGCTCTTGTTTTCCTTCTCCTTTGGTTTTGTTACCCTATGTATAGCGTTTCGGGCTGTAAGGGAGACTGCTGCTTGAAAAGGAGCTGGAAATCATAACATCTGGAAGTTGCCGCTGCCTTGGGACAAAATACAATCCACAAGGATGGGTGGAGCAGGGAAAAGCAACCAGTAACCTCAACTCCCAACTGTCTTTCCACACATCCCCTCCCTAGTACTCTGTAGCCAGAATAAATAACCCTCTTCTGCAAGGATCAACATGAAATAGTGCGAACTCCACGTAGAAAGTGTGCAGCGTGCTGAAATTCAGAAAGGGGTTAGCCTGTGTCTGGTCTTCTCTGGTGCTCAGAGCTGCCTGCCTGTGCCTTCCTAGTCTTGAGAGCGCAGCTGACGTAGGGACTGATCACACCGAAAGAGCAATTCCCAAATTAATTCGTATACCACAACCAATTTCAGGCCCGCTCTCTTTTTGTCACTTTTGTCAGGATGTTCAGACAGTTCAGAGAACTTTCTACAATCAGTTTAACTAGCAAAGCACTTCCCCTCATCTCTGCTTCTATTCAGTAATTAACTTTTCCCACAGGAATATTATTGTCCTATCGAATCACGAGGGTTGTCTCTCTGATCTTTACTCAGATGAACATCACGTAGGCTTTAAAAGAAGGCCCGCCAGTGGGTAGGCCCCAACAGCACCTTGTGTGTCCGAGCTCTGGAGAGCATTGAGGATGTGGATGTGGCCTGCTCCTGGCATGGGGACCTTGCTCTGGAACTGTTTTGCCTCGGGTTTTTCATCTTTTTAAAGGCTCCATCTTGTAAATTTGACAGTACCATGCAGCAGAGCTCAAAAATCTCTTTTAACTGATGTGGCTGATGTTGAATGAAGAAATATCTGTGCTTTCCTGCTGGGTGATCTCGGGAAAAGAGTGTGTTCCTGCTGCCTGCTTAGAAATTGCACACGGTTCCTGCTGACAAATTAGGAATATAGAGAGTTTAGTAGAATACATGTAGTCCACAGCTGTATTTGTCTTGTGAGAACAGAAGAGAAATAGCATCTGAAGGCTTTAGATTCTTTTTTTCTGTCTAGGTATTTGATATCGTATCCACATGTGAAGGATTTCTTGTTTTTTTTTTCCCCCCGTCCCAGTTTTATACCCAACCAATACACAAAGCCTCACACTGAGAAGACAGTCTAAAGGAGAAAAAAAGAGCATGTTCCATAGCCATACTGTACGGTGCTGCCCCAGGCCCAGCCGTTTGACCTTGTGTGACTCGTGGATCTCGGTGACTCCTGTCCTGTGGCTCCTGTTGCCCTCCCCGTCCCTGCTTTTGCCTGGGGTTCTGCTCTGCTCGCCCTCCTCCTGTCTCCTGGGTCAACAAGTTGTGCTGCCTGGCAAAAATAGATCATGCTATTACAGCAATAAAGAGGTTACTTATATTATTGGACATGCCTCTGTTGTGAAGTCATTTGGGCTGCAGTTCTGCTATCCTCGCTTGGTGGGATGTAATGTCAAAGAGGGAGGTTTTATTATTTTTTTTTCCTCCCTAAAGCAATTGAATAAATGCTGTTGCTAGTACTTTTGTGCATCTGAATCTAAGCAAACTTGGTTGTGATAGTGCTTTTTTTTCTCTCTTTAATGACCCTAAGTAAAGCACTAATTGAACTTTCAAAATCCATTTTTATATTGCTTTGAGATTCTAAATGTACCACACCATATCCTTAGTATCAGAACTGTAAGTATTCATATGGGCTTTTGCAGTGTCCTGTTTTATTCCTGTTCTGCATTTGATTTAAAAAAGAAAATGAAAAATGACTTAAGATGATATTTTATTGTTAAAGGACTTGGTGCACATGAACTGAACCCTCTGGCAGTTTGAAAATTCTATGAAACACACACCTGTGCTTTAGCATTTCTGTACCTGTTCTTTAGATCAAATGCAGAATATTCCTGTGTAATGAAATTGAGTATATGGTCATTTAAAAAAAAAACTCAGCATTTTTTTTTATTTCTTTCAAGTTGAGGCATAGTTTATATTTATATATATATTTATATCTATGAATATATATGCTAAATGCAAGAAACATTTCAGATTTTAAACAGCTAGTCTGTAGAATTTATTTTCCAGCATTTGAGTTTGTTAGATGTTTTTGTTTATAGTCAAATAAACTGAGTGGACTATTTTTTTCCAGAGCTGCTAAAACAAATAAGTGGTTGTTCCAGCTCCAGAATGTGTTTATTTTAATATGGACGTATTTCCATGGGAGGGGGGGAAGGGAGGCTGTAGGAATGGCAGTGAGGAGGGGACACTTAAATAAATTCTGTTCACCAACTTTTGTTAAAAAATAAATTCAGTTTGTTAAAACTTGTCATATCAGCTGTTTATTGTTTCTGATATTCTCTTGAAGATATATCTGAAGTCAAAATGACATCCTTGCAGAAGGGAAAGCAGTATTGTGGGTGCTGCTTGTGCAGGCCTTAAGTAGTAACACATTATATATAATATTTAAAATGCCCTGACATGTACTTTTGTTCTCCGAGTTAAGTTTCAGGGCAATTTCTAAAGATAGTATTTGGTTGTTCACAGTTATGACATAGGATGATGATATGTTAGGGTTGCCATAGCTTTTGTGGTAAGTGGGTGTGGGACAACTACTTGAGCTAGAACAGTGACTTCTTACGTGTTTTCGGGTTTAACTCCAGTGTAGATGATCCAACCACATCACTGAATGCCAAGGTGTGTGGGCTTGTTGTTGTTGCTTTCTCCTGCATGTTAAATATAAGTAGCTGTCAGCCTGAATGGTAAAAAGGAAACTTAGAGATATGGTTTTTTGTTTGCTTTTAACATGGAAGGCAAGTACTGACCAGAGGCTGTTTCATTTGTCTGAGTGGCGCTGACCCACTTTGCTTTGAGCCTCTGGACGAGGGGCAGGGGGAGGCTCCGTGCGGGACGTGCCCCCCATCCATCCCATCCATCCCGGAGGCGGAGGGCAGGGACAGCCCTGGGACAAGGGCTCGGTGCCGCTGGTGGCTCCTTGTGGCTTCCCTGTTGCTCCTGTCACCGTTGACCGTAGCGTGGATCTCCTGGATGCTGCCTTGAAGGATAAGTGCATCGTTCATGTATCGCGCGGAAGCGCTGGGATTCTCTCCACAGTGTGGTTTGATAAGGCCAGTTAGTGCTGCCAGTGCCAGCCTGCACTAAAAAAGCATTCAGAGTTTGAAGGACTGCAGCAAGAACCGTTTACTTGCACCACACAAAAATCAGAGGCTGCTTGGATTCAACACTGCTAAGTCTGAGACTCACAGGTCAAAGTAGTAAATTTGAAATCTTTTTTTTTTTTCTTTTTCCTTTTGTTGAAATGGTGAATCTTTTTCATAGAATGAAAGCAATATGTCAGAAATCTATCATGATTTTTTTTCCCTTTTACTGTGAGAGTTAAGAAATTAAGATAGTTAAATGTTCAGGAAAATCATTCTTAATGCTACAGGCTAGAAAAAAGACATAACATGGTGGTTTGGTGTTAACAACAGTAATGGCCATGTTTGGCTATAATTTCACTGCTGTGCTTTCTTTTTCCTAGGTGGCTTTTTTGATGCTGTAGGGTCATTACGTGGCTGAAGACTAAACATGAGAATAGCCGGTAAGTGGAGTTAGTGAAATTGGACTTTTGTACCTTGTGAAACAAGCTGCAGGCATTAACGAGTAAAGAATCACTGTGACAGTACTTTAAAACTGATGCACAGCGATTTGCTATGGCATCACTGTCCCATTCTACTAAGCTTTAAGGAAGCTTGGGACACGTTTGGATCAGTCTAGGAGCAAGCGTCTGGTTCCAGCTCTACAGGGATCTTCAGTGGCTGGTTGAGGTGCCAGGGCTTGATCTACTGTGGCTACTAATTCTGTAAAATGATGAAAGAATAATAAAATAGGTAAATGCTATGTCCTAGGCAGTTTATTTCTCCACCTCATACCCCAGACTGAAGTGTCACACATGGTTTTAATACAGCATATGAAGCTTCTGGAATAACTGTTGGGAATTGGAAAGTTGTAAAAAGCTTGTAACAGATGTATGTTTCTTCAGGGTTTGAGAAATTCATTTTATTTGAAGATGTAGGTTAGTAGCAATTGCAATATTACGAAGTAATTTTTACTTAATTTCAAAGATCTCTTTGCCAAAGTAATACTGCAAATACTTTGCAATAGTACAATATTGCAAAGTATTTGCAGTATTACTTTGGCAAAGAGATCTTTTAAGAAAATATTATTTTGGATGTGTCTTTGCAGTAGAATACCCTATTGCATTTTTATGTTAGCTGAACAGTTTTGAGATTCTGAAGCCTTGCACTTTCATTTGAAAGAAGTTGTATGGTTATGCTACATCACCCTAGAAGAGAGTGATACTTTATTTTCCCAAAGAGTTAAGGGTTAACCTTTTTAGCAACCCTGGATCCTCTGACTGCTTCTAAAATTATCATTCAGGATAGTTGCAGAAAGCTCAAGAGTGGATATGCAGGTTTATTAATTGCATTAAGTGTAGCTAAGAGCCACTTGTTACAGGAAAGACAAAACCCATGAGAGCTGGGGAAATGCAGTAATTTTTAGAGGATGGTTGGATCACCTAGAAGATGCCTTTCCTGAGTCGTCCTCCTCTTCCAGCTGACTCCTAATTTTGTTACTAAAACCTACAGATGAAAAACAAGGCGTTTCACACAGAATGTTTAGCCTGTAGCAAACCGGCTGGGCTTGCCTCAATAATTACGAGTACTGAACAGGAGAATATTTCTACCTCCCTTAGTGGGAGCCTGTTCAATCCCATGAAAAGACTGAGAGTATGAAGTGGAGTAGATGATTAGTGCTTGTTCTGGGTTCTCATTCACCTCTTTCACCATCTACCTGAGCAGCGTGCTCTCCAAGTGCCATGTGCTATACGGCACACTCTGAACTCTGCTTTTTAAGCAATCCTGTCATGTTAAGTAATGTTACTTTTGCAGACATTTTCCAGATTTCTTAATGTAAGTAAATGCAGGTTATTTGTTTTCGTTAGCACATACCTTTCCTACAAATGCAGTTGCCTCTGGGAGTCCCAGCCTAATGTTCTTAAGTTTATTTCTGTATTCTTTTTTCTTTACATAATGTCTCTGGGCTTACCCGTGTCTGTCTCTTTCCTCATCTGTCTTTTCTTTTTCTATCTGCTTATCTCCCCCTCCCGCCTGCCCTGCTTTGGAAGGCTTGATTAACATCTCTCATCTTTCTGAAGGCTGAGTAATTTTATCTATTTCAAGGTTTTCCACACAGCCCTCAGAAACCGGTCTGAGGTCTTCAGGAATACATAAATAAATTATTCAGAGAAGATCTTATCAGGCAGTTGGAGAAATACAAGCGTTCTGTAGGGTCACTTCTCCAAAGCTCTTTAACGCGCTGGCATATTGATCCCCTAAATGTGGCTCAGAGTGACTTCTAATGCCTGACACTCCGTACCTTTCACTAAACAGAGGGCAGGGTGTTCTGTAAAATCTATTGAAAATAATGTTAGAAAATGGCAAATATGCAATTAGAACAGCAGGCTTCATGGTAGCACCAAGTACAAGAGAGTTTCGGTTTCAGATATAAATCCCTGTGGGTTAGTGCTTTCAGCTCTTCCACTGCCCTGTGGCTTGACCTCTCCACACTGCAGGAAAATTAGGCTTGTAAAACCTCAAGCCACCTGAGACCTCAACATATTAAAAGGGGGAGGGGGAAAGCTACCACTTTTTTAAAGAAGAGATAATTTAAAACATAATGGTCTGCTAACTTGGTTTTTGAAAGTCAATAAATTAAGAAAAGAAGCCCATCTGCTTCTTTTTAAATAAATTTTAATGTAATTCTTGGGCTTAACTAGCTAAAGCAGCTGAGCTATAAACAGACCCATAATTGCTCAGCCTGGGTCACGCATTAAAATAGAGAGGTATCAGTCTGAAGACAAAAAGAAAGGGAGTATTTATGAACAGTGAGCAACAGGGACATATGCCTGAGAACTGGTAAGTAGGATGGGGGAGCGGGACTTCCTGCCCTGGAGAGCAGCCAGTTGTTAAATCAGCTTAGTTCATCTAGCCCAGCTGGATTTCCATGAAAAAGTCGGTGCTTTCTACTGGCTGCTGAGCTGAGCTGGTTCCTGGGAGGTCAGACAGGCACAAAGGTTGGAAAAAGAACCCAGGTGAGATGTCAGGTCGGTGCTTGTGTAGCAACCTGATAGACAAACTCGGTTGCAGCCAACGTTACAGAGCTCTTTCCTTGGGGATTAATCCCCAAGGAAATTTGCTTATATTTTGGGCCTCAGCAAGGCCCACTATGTTTATGAAAGAGGTCTCCTTAATGTAACCTGATAGAGATGTAATTTTGGTAAATTTTAATGCTATTGTTTATAGATTTTTTTTTTGAAACTGTTTTTTTTTCCCTGCTTCTGCATAGGTGCTGCGAAGTTGGTAGTAGTCGTAGCAATATTTTTGTTGACGTTTTATGTCATATCTCAAGTTTTTGAAATAAAAATGGATGCGAACTTAGGACACATATTTGGTAAGTGATGACTTTGTTTTTCTACATATTTGCTCTTTCTTTATTTGAAGCATAACCAAGAATTATTTCTGTAAGATCAACTTACTCTTGCACCTCTAAAGAATTTTATTTTTAATGTGTGTACTTACAGTTTTTTATATATATATATATGAAATATTTAAGAGTCTCATCTTGCAAATGTACATAGTTTTACCCAGTTTTCTGTTTATAGTTACTTACCATCTTAACTGAGAGGTGTCAACTATGTAACAATGCAATAATCAAAACATTTCAAATGTGCCTAGTTCTTAATAAAATAAATAAAAATAAAGGGGGAGAGAGGTGCAGGGCAGTTACTAGCCTAAATCATTTAAAATGCAGAGTGTGGATTTTGAGTCGACTCTGTCTTTAAAATGCCTTTTCTTTAAGAAACCCCATTTTAAACACATGGTTGGGATTCATAGCACTTAACTCTAGATTCCAGTGTTAGCATCCACATCTCTGTAGAAAAGCTTCTAGTCTGTGGTCCTTCTCCTTGGTTGGGTAAATCAGGCAATGAGGATAGGATTTACTTCATTTCAATACCCACAGCACCACAGGTCCCATGTTGTTCTGTGTTTCCCTTTATGGGCCTATCCTCTTTGGAGAGCTGTAAATTAAGCTAGTGTCTCAATATATCTGATTCCTGATCACTTTGATACTTCTGCTGTGTAACTTTGTATTTTATGTTGAAACATAATGTTTTTATTTATGTATTTGATGTTTTAATCTATTTTTATAGGTGTATGAAAAGCTTTAAAATTTACAGCCTATTTTATACTAAATGATATAATGATGATATGATACATACTAAATGTTACATACTAAATGATATAATTTTAAAATAAGAATCTTATAAAACTTTTTTTTTTGTATTTTAGCTAGATCAGCATTGGATGCAGCTGCACGTGGTGAGTATTCATATGCATATGTTACTGCTGTGACTTGTTTTACTAAAGGCAGAAAAAGTTGGATTTTCTTAGTTAGGAAATTCTTAATTACACTTAAAATGTAATCATAAACTGTTTTTCTCTTTCCCTAACTTTCCTACATTTCTGTCCAATTCCCTCTGATTTTGCCAGCATTTTGTCAAGAGTACGCAGCTGTATTTGTGGCTTTTGATGGCCATGCTAAGTGTCAAGCAAAGGGGTGAGAATAGGGGAACAAGTGAAGAAGCACAGCAGCCACTTAGATCAGTTAAAGCTACTTTGAACCTGCACCAGGAAGTATGGCTTGCCTCTATCCTTCTTGAATTCTTCTGGAAAACTAACTCAAATGTTTAACCTTCAGCTCACCTGTCTCTAAAGTACTGTTACTTTCTTTTGACAGCTACAAAACCTCCAAGGTACAAATGTGGCATTTCTAAAGCCTGTCCTGAAAAGCACTTTGCATTCAAAATGGCAAGCGGAGCTGCAAATGTAGTTGGGCCTAAAATTTGTGTAGAAGATAATGTGTAAGTATTTTCACCTGTAATTTGTACATATCTCTTTAAAAGTGGTATAATGGATCATGTTGCATGCAAAGGCAGTAATTCAATGTTTTTTTGTTTTTTGGTTGTACATTCAGTTTGCCTACAAAATGACCACATGAGCAAATTATCATAGATCAAGTTGTAATATAAAGCACAGTTGATATTTTATAGTAAATTACTAAGTGTATGTTATTTTAATAAATGCAAGATAGCTTACATTTTATTTGAGGTTTACAGCCTTGCAGAATAGTCAGACCTTGTAAAGTCAGATGCATACTTACCTCTGAGTACTCTTTTCGTGTGCCTCTAATTGTAATTCAATAAATTATTTTTAAGTAGTTACTCCTATTACTTCTAATTGAATGTCATCAGCTAAAAATGTGCCAAGGAATTGCCTTTTGCAAGTCATCTTTTAAACCGTTTACTTCCATAGCAGTAATGACAAAATGTTTTACACCTTGGAAGGATGACTTCAAAAGGGAAAAGTAATACTTCATTGTTTGGTTGTCATTTAATTGAGCTGATAATATAGTTGCTAAATTTAAATTATCTGTGAAATTAAATTTACTTTTTGAGGCAAGTCCTTAATGAATACTTAAAGGCACCATTTTCAAACAGTTCCTTTATTTAAGCAGCTTCTGTTATTTCTAGATAAAATATTTTAAATGCAATACTATCAATAATGCTATACCTAGAATATTTAATGCATATTTTTAATATTCCCATTATATAGATCACTATTTTTTAAACTTGGGGTGTTGCTGCTCCTTGTCACCCCAGAGTGCCTGAGTTTGCCTAATGCAGTGTATCCACTCAATTTTGGATGTCACAAGGTGGAGATTTTGTGTATTTTTTCCCAAACATCAGCCTTGCCTTCCGTTCACATTTTAAAACTCCATTTGAAGCGTTTCTCAGCCAATGCTGCTAGTGCAGGGTGGTTCAGAGGGCAGGTACAGCCTTCAGCACTGACTCATTCTAGAGCATCTGGCTACTTTCGGTGAAATTCATCACCCCATGTAAAACAACAAAGAGAGTAATTGATCTGTTGGATTGGGTTTTTCATCACTGTGTTGCACTTTAAAGGGACATCCTAATTGCAAAGATAACACTGTTTTTAGCGTTCGCAGTTGGCAGTGGTGTCAGAATGAGTGATTTTTCTGACAGTAGCTCATGGGCAGTGTCTCCTTTTTGCATCGCCAATTGAAGCGTCAGCACCATGGAAGTTCTGAGCGATCCCTATGAAGGCCGCCCTCGCTCCAGCTTCCCTGCAGCACCACGTGTGTGTAGGACCCCGTTGGCAGCAGCACTTCCCAGGCTGTGTGGACCTGCAGATCCAGAACAGGCTCTGTGCCCTCCAACCACGGCTAAAAGCTACGGGCTTGTTTCCATTCATGCCACCTTATGACCTCAGACAGCCTTATCTAATCTCTCTGCGTGTTATTTTTATGGGTGTTGCAGGACTTGCCAGTTTCTCATCCTGGTTGCTAGGAGGCTTCCTCTCTGTGAAGACATAGGGCAATTCACTGATTAGAAGTTAAAGAGTGAAGTAATATTTTAACTTCAGGGTTATGGTTGTATTAATGCCTTATGGCATTGATGCCATTTATAGGGCATTAATGATGAAGAAATAGTTGTTATCAAAAAACAACAGCAACAACAAACTTCTCTACTGTTTTTCTGAAGAAAGGGATGAAAAGAAATTGGTTGCTGAAAAGAGATTGTCTTCTAATACTAGTGTACAGATAATGGAATCATAAGATCACAGTTTCCTTACGTAAAAATCTCTGCTAATGCCCTCTGAGGAGGAGTCATAAATGGTTGTTTAAATGTGTGCCATAAAATCTCCTGCCTTGTTCGTAATGCCTTTGACTGGCATTTTAGAGGTTCACGTCAATTGTCGGCTTTCAATTTTTGGAAGAATTTTAAAACTGGGGAAGTGCTGCCCCCCTGTGAGCAACCTGCAGTATCACAGCCCGGAGTGGAGCACAGGGGCTCTGGAGTGGGTGAAGTAACACCTCCTAACTCCAAAATACTGTATTTCCTGGGCGGCAGAAAATATATGTATCTATATATCTATATATATTATATAATTATATATATCTATATATATATGTCTTTTGTGTGTGTGCATGCACACCTTATAAAATGGCTTGCAGTTAAGAAAAGCAGCTGTAATGTTGTAAGTGGACATCTAAAATTTAAAATTATGTGAAGGTTTTGTGGGACTGAGGTTAAAGTGAGTGTCTGCATTAAAAGTATTGACTGACGTTTGCTTTAGCGGGGTGCAACAGTTGGTTTAGTGGGGTGCTACATAAATGGTCTCAAATATAGGTAGGAAAAATATCTATCTTTTTAAGAGTAATCAATCTTTTTAAGATTGCTCAGATTCCTGTGAAGAGGTAGGTTGCAGTATCTTGTATTTTCCACTGTGCCCACAGGCCTGTGAGCTGGTGGTGCTGCCAGAACCAGGAGTGGCCTGGGCCTTGGCCCGATGCTCCTGGTGGTTACCTCACCCAGCTTGAAGCCGGAGCCCTCAGTAGAGCTTGTTCCAAATAGAAGAAATCATTAATTTCTGGGCCTATTATTCCAGAAAGAGTAAAAAGATCTCTCCCATATTCCAGGAAGGGTTGGAAATGAAAAGTTTCTTATTTTACTAGTATTGTTATGAGTATTTCTGAGCGATTTTTCTAGGTGTCTGCTGCACATTCCCATACAGGAATGGTCCTGTATGTAACCATACAGGAATAATACCTGAAGTAGAAGTACTGATTAAGTAAGATACTGTTATCAGCTTTTGCATGTCATATTTGATCAATGAAGGTCAAATAATGACAAGTAGACCAGGTTTATAAAAGGGAGTGTGCTTGGCTGTGTTCCTTTCCATTTAAACACCAAACATTAACCAAATTACCAAAAATATTTAGAAGTACCCAATTACCTCTAAAATGACTTTCCCTTCCCACTCTGAAGTTCAAACTCTGAAGTTTGAAATCCTACATTGTTGGAAAAATTGAAGACTGTCTGTGTGTCAGCTTTTACAAGGTCATTTCTGTAAGCTGTTACTCTGCATTTTATCACAGGCTTTATCACAAGCAGGACCTGAGGACTACAAGGGGTTATTGTTACCAGTCCTTTTTTCATGGCAGTGCTGTCAGAAAGCTCCTCAAGAAGCATAAGGAATTCTAGCATCCCAGCTTGCCAGCAGGTGTTTTTCCCAGACCTCTTGTACCATGGATGGCTGGAAGGTTCTCTTGGAGTCGGGCAGCTCTTGCATCGCCACATTTTGAGGTTTCTTTGTGAGCCTCTTGCATTTTGTTACTCTGTCCACTAGCAGCATCAGATCTGAATGGTTCCTTAGCCCTCCTCGTGTTTACTTCTCGTGTGTTGATTGTCAGAATTAAATTGCTATAACTGCTGTAAATTGCAAGAGAAATTAATGCATATCTGTCTGTACCCAACTGTGTAGGGCTATCAAGTCTTCTCAGTGCTTTCTATTCCCCTAGTCGTCCAGTAGCTCATTTATTTGAATGTTTCTCTTGTAGCCAGAATAGTGCCCATGGTGCTTGTACCCCAGTTACAGGTAATAGTGTCACAAAGAACTTGCTATTTGTGTTGGGAATAATTGATCTGATGCATCATAGTGTCACATTTGTCTGTTTCATGACCATTCTGGTGGTTTGTGTCCACCTAGAAAATAGTAGTCCTTTGGTTTTGCAGTGTCCATCTACAGTAGACTTTGTACTCTTTAGATATTGTAATCAGTGAAGTTCCAAGCTTTCGCCAAGTTTGTGAAGGCTTTTATTTATTTATTTATTTATTTATTTATTTATTTATAAAAGTACATGTTCCTCTCATATGTGTTACAGACAGAATTTCATGCTGTTTCTTTTGTTCTTGAAGCCAATTCCAGTTTATTTTCTATGGTAATTTAGCCTTCCTCTGCACAATAATTCTCTTTTATATAGCTTAACCAACACACAGCACTGCTATTCGGATCCCTAATGAATGATGATATAAAATATCCACAACCTGATTATTGAAAAGCTCCATTAACAATATCTCTCCATATTGATATTTTTCTCTTTAAAACTGCCCATTTGTACTTTTCTAGCCTGTTCTTTGGTAGCTTCAAATCAAGAAGTAGAATCAAGAAATTAGATATCTTCTGTTTTTTACTAATGTTTTTAGGTGTTTTGAAGTGAAATGAGAATCTCACTGTAAAATGGTTTAATTAAAACTTTGTTTTTCTGACTTGAAAGGGCATAATAAAAAAAAAAAAAAGTGATCATCCTCAAAATATTAAAAATTACTGGCACTACTTGATGGATTTGGAAGAAGGGGCGGTATTTTCATACTTCTTTGCAAGTAATTTTTCTTGTTCTTGTTTTTCAGTTCTTGTTTTCTTGGCCATTGCAAGATTTACGTTGCAGTAACCTTATGGCAAAATCTTTCATCACTTTCCTTAATAACTAATGCTTTTTTTTTTTTGTATAGATATTACACTTTTTACTATCTGAAATGGTTTTTTTTAACCAAACACTAAAGTTTCTAGTAAAGGGAAGCAGAGTTTATTACTTAGAAGTAAAATGCGTAGTTTTACTCTGGCTTGTGTAAATACTTCTGGCAATAATGAATGAAGCATTAAATGTTTTTAGTATAGAAAAGATTAGAATTTGATCTTAATGAAGAAAACTGACATACCTCCAGTATAGAATTCTAGCTATGTGTATCTGTGTGCATTTGCAGGACTGCATTCTGTTTTGACTTGCATTTTTTCACAGAGAAATTCATAGTTTAAAAAAAAATGGAAGTTCTTATTCTTTTTGTTATATGTCCACTGAATGATAGTTAAGGAACGCATTAAGAACTTCACAGCTATTTTTTCATTTGTGTGTTCAGTCTTTATTTGCCATGTGTTTCTGTTGCATTAGTGGAAAAATATGGAGCTCTTCAATGGCTAAAATACTTCTGGAATCCCCTGTTAACCAGAACTGAATTTTGTCGGTTAGCAGCAAATTGCTGGTGTTCTGTTCCAAGAATTAGTGAGTTAGAGTTTTATTTGTTCTAAGAATTTCTGGTGTAGGTATGACTCAAAAGTTAACAGAAGAATATGGGATCTTTCATCTCTGCTATTTATTTAAAACCCAAGTTACTGCACTGAAAATGCCCTCAACTGGTAGTCTGTCATGCTCTCTCTAGGACAAACTAGTAATGATTCATCCCCTGAAAAAGTGTCTGTTGTTCCAATTCATGTGAATTTTGGGTTCTATCCTCATCCTAGGTGTGAAAGATAGTGTCAGAGAGAAGATTTGGTCTCACTTCCATGTTAAACTGCTGCTCATTTCTAGCCCCTCACTGCTGGGTTAGCACTAGAAAGCTGGTGCCGCAGACCTTGAAAAACCAAGCTCCTAAAGAAAGAAGGATCCAGATAGATCTGAAAATCAGGTGGTCCCTGCACGAATGGTCTGTATCAGACCTTAAATGCCCGGTGTGCCCATGTGCAGCCTCTCCCTGGTGTGGGAGCTGGGGAACTGGGGGGAATTAGGTGCTGGTTCGGGCGCTTGCTGCAGGCTGTTTCGCAGTTGATGCCACTCGCATCTCCAAGCTGAGCTGCTTTCTTCAATCTAAGCTGCATTTCTCAGCTATCATAATAGTTACGAGCCCTACCCCTATTACTCCTTGCTTATGTCAACCCTTAAATTCCTAACTTCAAAGCATTAATGGCAGGGATATTTCAGGCCAGTGTCAGGGAGGCAGAACAGAGATTTCTTTCATGTAGTGCAGTGCTCCTACAGTGCCAAATAAAGGAATTTGGGGATTTTCAAGCTGCTTCTCAGCAGAGTGATGCAGCCAGGCCAGGGAGCCCTGCACCCCAGCTAGCAAACCTGCCCTTCCCATTTCCCACTCTGTTTGGTCAAGTGATTGCTGTTCTAGATTGCAGCAAATTTGTTGGGATTTATAACTGTACTGCAGGATTACGCTCACCTTCAATTTAGATCCCACCATTGTATTAACTATGTCCCTTGAATTTAGATTGCCTGTGATTGGTGAAAGTAGCCTGCTTCGACTTCTGTATTAGCACAGTGTTGCAGTATTCGCTTTAAATACGTTGTTTAGGTTACCTTGTGAAGTCACTAACACATTTTAGTTCTTCATGTGCTTATGGAAAAAGATCAAGTCTTAGCTATATGATGGAATCGGCCCCATCAAAAATATTATGTGTGCCTCAGGCTCCTTAACTGAGAAGAATTTTCATAAATACATTAATAACATTTTATTTTTACTGGCTTTTTTTGTATATACGTACTTTGAAGTAAAGCATGTTAATAGAAAGTTGTAAAAGTTTTATGGAGCTGAAATGTTGGTTGAAAATATTAAAATTTCTTCTACCTGATTTCTGTTTATAACAAAAAACTTAATATCTTGTGAAAACATAAAATGATGAACATTTAAACTGTATAAAAAAATGAGAGTCTACTTAAGGCAGTATTATGAAAAAGGTGATTAAATGATCAAATAAAATGGATACACCTGGCGATACTTGATCTACTGTTCTCGATTTAGTGGTCCCATGAGGGCACCTAGCTTTGCTCTAGGAACTTTTATTTAAGTAATTGTGTTCATATGCTCTTTCAGATATCCATGTCTTACAGTTTGATTGTTCCTATTTCAAAATCAAAATATTAAATGAAATGTTTCATATCAGAAGATTGTCCTTTTAAACGTTATGTGTTTATTTTGTTACAGTTTAATGAGCGGAGTTAAAAACAATGTTGGCAGAGGAATAAATGTGGCTTTGGTCAATGGTAGGTGATATTTTAAATGAGCAGTGAGTCTTCATTTTCGAATAATTTCTGATACTCTTTTTAAGCCATGTAAGGTATCATGATAGATAAGCAAAAAGGAGATACTTGGCACACCTGCACTGGGACTAGTAACAGATCTGAGGGCCTAGAACATTTTTTAGCATAGAGTAGGAAGGTGGAAAAACTTGGTGTTTTTTTCCTTCTTTTCCTGAAAATGTGTGCTAAAAAAAAAAAAATGGTAATGTGGAGAGCTAAATTGGCTTGTTCACTGATAGAGCAAATATTTTTTAAATAACCGCAGAATAACCAAAGATGCATGCGGCTGCTTTTCACCTTGTACTTGCCACCACTTAAAAAGAGGTGTAAATTAATTTCGTCTCCAACCCTGTTTCCAGTGAAACGTAATTAAAAACGTTATCTGTTATTACATAGAAAGTCTAGTTTGTTATTCCCCAGCTGGAGATTATTTTATTCTGTTAGTTCATATCTACAGTTCCAGACCCTAAAGTCTCCCGATATGTCATTGTGTTCACAATTCTGAACTTTCATTTAAAAACAAACAAATTTCCTGGTATGTCAGCTTGAGAGTGGAACTGTACTGCCTGCAATGGCAACTTTGTCCTTAGGGTGTAGGAAGTAATTGCTCTGTAGCCTGGAGATTGTCACTTCACTGGAATGTAAATTTGTGTTGTTGTTTGATTGTACTCAGTTTTACAGCATGTAAAACATGACTTGAGCAATACTTACCTAATCCTAAATTGCCTCAGTCTGTTCAAACCCATTTTTTTCTACCTTCATATTAAATAGCTGCCAGTCTTCCTTTTCTTCTTCCAACTGAATGCATGTATTAAAAACAGAACCGTGAATTTAATCAAAAAGTAGCCTTTTATATAGTTTATATAGACAGTATGGGAACCATAGAATACTAATGGCATGTTGTATTATCCATTTTCTTCTCCACCATTTTCTTTTTCATTTGTTTTTAGTGGAGAAGCATTTTCGGTCAGCAGCAAAACATGTCATGTAGTTTTGATCTTTCCTTTCTATGTGGTACTGAAGCTAAACAAAACTGTACTCTCTCTACTCTTGCTTATTTTGCCTTTTTTGAGGGGGGAAAAATGTGAATAGATTTGTGGGTTATCTGTATTTGCCTTTTTTGGGCTTTGTTTTGGCTTTTTTAAAATTTTCTCTTTGAAGCAAATGAGAAGCTTTTGTCTTCCCTTTTCTCCATTTCCTTTTCATGCAGACCTTAGTGGTTTGTGAAAGGAGCAATCCTCATAAAAGTTGATGTAGTAATTGATTATTTGTATCTCTGAAAGTTTCCAAGAGTGTCATTAAAGGGGATTATCCATGTTCTCTGTAAAAATATATAAATAATAATTTTTAAAATGGGTACTCTTTGACACAAAATGTTTATTTTTCCTCAGGTAAAACAGGAGAGACAATAGACACCAAATTCTTTGACATGTGGGGTGGAGGTAGGTGTGGTTCACTTGCCTGTTGGAGAGAACAACTAAAATATGTTCTTTTTGTTTGTTTGTTTTGTGGTGGCTGAGGCTTTTAGTTATGGGAGGGCTGAACCTCTGCTTTGGATTATGAGGAGGGTTCGACTAAAAAGCAAGTTTAGGGGGAGAGGGGACTGATTTCTGTGCAAGAGCACAAATACACTTGTTCTCCTGGGTAGTTATCCCCCTTGTATCTGTCTGTGCCAAAGCAACACCGAAACTGTAATAATAAGGGAGGATTTTGGTGTTCATAAATCAATTTTGTAGATGAGCACGTTACTACATTATTTTATTTTGGTAACTTTTCTTCTACTACACTAATTTGGTAATGGGAGTATTTTTCCATTCCAAGTACCAGTAGCTTCAAATTTTTAACCATCCTTTTAATTCAAAACAGAAATAAGTGATCATGTCCTTAGACAATATACATGAAATTCTACAAGATAGAAGTGTTATTTCTCTGGAGCATGTTGCCTTTTTCTCACTTATGAACTTTTTATAATTTTATAACTGTAATTGCAATTAAACATGTCTCTTAATTAAGTGTACACTGTGGCTGTCTGAATATGCCATGGTTGCTCATTATTAAGCAATTCTTTGTTACCTCTTTTCAGATGTGGCACCATTTATTGAATTCCTGAAGTCCATCCAGGATGGAACCATAGTGTTAATGGGAACATATGATGATGGTGCAACCAAGTATGTAACCAATGTATATAGTAAATATGGTTTAAACTTTTAAATGCGGTTTTATATCCTGAAAAACAGGGCTCTTTAACAATCACTTTTGATAAAGCTCTGTGTTTCCAGTAAGATGAATCTGAAACTCTGCTTATGTTATGTGGATATTTTTGTGCCTCAATGCCCTATTCTATCTATCCTTGAAGACCCTGTAGATTTATAGCCACTCTATTAAAATTTGCCCCTGCCTTTATATATATATATATATATATACACACACACATATATACATACATACAAACATACTGTCAAGGATATATTTTTACTATTTCTGGTAATTCATTCTATCTATGCTGGTGTATTCAAATGTGTCCAGACATAGACACATGTTGGAATGTGTCCTGATGTGAATTTGGTCTTTTCTATGTAGGATCTTCCTTACAAAGCTCCAGAGAAGAGTTTGGTAGTTCTGTTCCCATTAGACCTTGCCTGTAGCCTTCCTGTTCTGAAACCTGAGTTTATTAGCATGGTCTGCAGAACTGTTCCAAACTGAAGCTCTTTAATTTGCTGATGTAGATGCAAGCCTAAGAGTCTCTAGCTCTCAAAGTAGTATCTTTCAGCCGGTCTTTTGGTCATCCTTAGTAGATGACCAAATAGATCTCAATAAATTTATTGCAACTTTTTTTAAGGATATGAGCTATTCTACATACATAATCAGTAAGTCTGTAGAAATTTGTGGAGGTGGAGGGTGCAGATAAGCTCCAAAGGACTAAACTAACATGATCACTTTTACTGTCTTGGCTAGAGTGACTTGTACAGCTGTATCTCATTAAGCAGTGTCAGAAGTTGTGTATATTTTTTAGTAATTGAGTGAGAATAGTAGCTGGCAGATAGAAATAAAGAGCAAATGTGTGGATGTTTTGACCTGAAACATCATTCTACAGAATAACTTCCTATTAGGTACTAAAATTATCTTATTTGGACTTGGACCAAACTGCTCTGGCACAGCAGTTCCGACTTTTAATTTAATTGACCTGAACAAACTAAAGCTTTTAGAGTATTTTGTTTGTTCATTTAACCTGAAAGAGCCTTTGTTTTTTCTAGACTTCATTTTATGTCTGCAAACAATGCTTACTTTAAAGGTTGATTTTATATTTATGTATTTTCTAATGTTGTCCGGAGGATTGCAAAATGATTCAAGAAATTCTTACCTGATATGTTTTGTGCCTTTTGTTGCTGTGATGATAGGTTTTTGTGCAGATTGATTGAGATTATAATGTTCAAAGGGCAGAGGTCATTTAGATCAAGTGGTTTCAAAACTAGGCTTACCTGATTCTGAAAGATTGCTCTTTCCAGTGCTGACTGGCTTGCACTGTATTTAATCAGGTCAAAGCTGACTGGTGCACTGCAAGAGCTCCAAGGATGTTTGTTTTATTCATGTATTTAACTGTGTTTTGTTCAAGGCTTAATGAGGAAGCACGGAAGCTGATTGCTGAATTAGGAAGCACATCCATTACTAACCTTGGCTTTAGAGACAATTGGGTCTTCTGTGGTGGAAAAGGAATTAAGACTAAAAGTCCATTTGAACAGGTCTGTGATGCTATAGTTTATTGGATTTCCATAGCTTACATTCTATTAAAATTATAGCCTATTTTTTAAATACCATGGATTTGTTCAAAACCAGTATCTCTTTCAGTAATTGCACTCATTCATTCACTCCATATGATAAATTATTTATCTTTTAAATAAATTCAGATTAACTAAGAATTGTAAAATGTCTGCCTGAAGCTCAGATGTTAAACACAGTAATTCCCTTATTTTCAAAAAGGCTGGAAATTCTATATTAATTGATGTTCTTAGAGTCTGGCTATTCATTTCAGTGCCCTTCTTTCCCCATATTGTGGCTTACCAGTTTATTTAACATAGACCTGTCTGAACAAGCTGCATCAATGAGTGAATACCAAGGGAGAGTTATATTTAATATTTACAAAGCACAGGATATTAATACTGATATCTTCTTTTAACTTACTATTTTCAGGCAGTTGATTAACAGAATGTCTATTAAAGCAGCTTGTGCATTAAGAAATGGGATATATAGCTTTGTATTAATTAAAATTATTTTCTATTTTTAGCATATAAAGAACAACAAGGACACAAACAAATATGAAGGCTGGCCAGAAGTTGTTGAGATGGAAGGCTGCATCCCACAGAAGCAAGACTAAAACAAAAGGAAAGAATGTGGAAGAAAATGCACTTTCTGCTATTAATAGGGAGAGGGCTATGAAGGAAACTGTACTGTAAATAATATTTTTAAAGCATGCAACCATCCTGTCGGTGTGTGCATGAGCACTGACATTTTGAATATTGGGATTATTTATTGCTAAAACACATAGCAATCCTTTTTGTAAATATGTCCAAAAAGAAAAAAAAAAACGTGATTTCTAAGCAGGTTTCCTAAAAGCACAGCATTTAGTTTATCTAAAGTAAATAATATCTCTTAGATAATGGGCTAATAAATTCCATATACCAATGATAAACAAATAGATCCTGACAGGTGTTGTACTGTTCTCTAACAGCGTAATGTTGCTGTGAGTATGTAACCTTTGTGGAATATGTAGATTTTAGTGATAAGTTAATAAAGAACTTTAATATTTTTTTTTTTATCCTCTGCCTCTTTAAATGGCAGCATCACTTTTTATTAAAGCTATTTGGTTATTCTAATACCAGGTGCTCCAGAAATTTATTTTGCAGTCCCCCACCAAAACCTAGTAATCAGTGAAGGAAGACTACCTGTTACAAAAATACAGACATAACACTGATAAGAAGCACAATATTAGTTATTTTTCTTAAGAGAAGAATGGAAGTAAATATATAAATAGTGTATATGATATTTAAAAGCAAGTTGGAAGGATTTGTATTTAACTTGGAAGTCCTATTTACTTTCTAGAAGAGACCTGGCATGTTAAGCAGCAGAGACTGTCTTGTACAGGTTTTTGCTCTGCTGCTTAGCCGTCAATTCTACCTACTGCTGACCAGCAATACTGGCTGCTCCTAATAAACGTGCAGAGTGGAATGCCTTCCCGTTTTAATTCTAACAGCAGGAATTAATTTCCTCTTGAGAAGGGCATATTGGAAAGCAGGTTATCTTCTTGTGAGAGTTGTTTCAGGGTACGCAGTTATGCAGTTTGTGTTGCATCTAATGTGAACAGAGGTGGTTTGTACTTACAGTGAGATGCTGGAGAGAGCATTATAACCTAGGTTATGTACTGTGTGAAATTTAAACTTGACTGATACAACCTTCATCATTTTCTTTAATAGAAAAAAAATGGACCAAATCGAAGTGGCCTTATTCTTTAGCTTTTGTCAGAGCTATCAGAAAACAGAATCCTTTCCACAGAAAGTTCTGCTTGTTTTAGTAGGACCAGCTTGAGTTCTGGCAGAAACTAAATGAGCGGCTCTAAGTGACAGTGCTGGTATTCACCGGGTATTCACTAACACAATTGGGTGTAATTTGCTGGAGTTTTATATGGTGAGTTTTGGTAAAATGTCTAAAACCTTTTACTAAGTAGCAGAGAATGGCAGAAGCAAAGGATTTCTCAGCGATCACGGTGTGAATCGAAAACTGTGCGACTCAAATACTGTTATCATCAATGTGTTCTGAGACAAATTTAATTGTTTACACTAAAAATTTCAAGCAATATCTGGAATAATTCTGTCACGTAGTTCAAATAAATAACCCGTGATACCAGAGTGAGACTGGATTTTGCTTTCTCTGTGATTAACTAGCTAATTAAATAAGAAAATTTTCTCTCAGCTTTAATATAGAACAGCAATAAATTCCTCTTATACAGTGAAACCATTTTTTTGTTGAGGAAGTGTCAAAACCAGGGAGATATTTTTCATCAAATAAGTTGCCTTTTTGTTAACTGTAAAATAACTTTTATTTCATAATACTAGTTATTCTGGAAAATTAACTGTATAAGCTCTGAAATTTTAAGGAAGTTTTATTTTTATGTTGGAGAATATTCCACTATTGGTTGTCCAAAATAGTATTAAAAGAAAAATAGTACTTGGCAGAGGCTTAAGAGATGAATCATTTCTCTGAGTTAGTGGTTTCCCTGAACGCTTATCTTCATTCTTTTGGTTTGGAATGATAATAAGTACACGTTTCATATTCAAAATTACAAAGTTCATCTGGCTTCTACAAAATAACTGGAAAGGAAAAAACAAAACACAGACCTCTTTTAGCCCTAATGAATGTCTTTTGTACCTTTTTTTATTTTTTCCCTTTTTTACAATCTGAATAAAATAAATACCATCTGACTCTTTAACTCTTTAATTGCACTTGTCACAACCCTTTTTGCAACTGATTTTAAAGCAATTAAATGATAGTTGTATTTTGTAATTACTCTTAAATCACTTGATTCTTGTAATTTTTTAAAAGTTTTCTACCTCTTCCCTTCTTCAGTGACTCACTCCTGTGCAGTTGCATCATCTCATTGCTTAATTCTACTGTTTAAATTTATAAGACTAATTCATTCTGAAGTGGCCATGCAACTGGGGACTTTTTGCTCTTTGCTTGTCCTTCATCCTGGTCTGTTGACTTGCCAGAAGTTCCAGTCACAGCATCTCATCTGTTCTTTCACCAAGTATGCTATTTACAGCATCTCCATGTTGAGGTAAATTTTCTTATGCATACTGTTAAGAAGCAGGACTTTTTAGTTCTGGTTATCTATGCATGTTTCATTTAAGTTACAAAACCCAAAGATGGTTTGTTTTTCCCTCCCTGGTGTTTCCCACTGGTGGTACAGAGTTATCAGTGGTGGCAGTGAGAATGATTTTCACAGCTTTATGTGAAAATACCTATGTATGATAAAGACCCAGATTGTATATTCTTCTCCCCAAAGTAATGGGAACACTTGCTGCATGTTGCTAGTAAATCTTGGAGGTGCTGAGGATAGGGAAGTCGAGGAAGAAAAAAGGTGGATATTGTCCAGCTTAAAAAGCATAACTGCAAGAAGAGGGAGAGTGGATGCAAGGTATGCAACTTGATCCATCTGAATAAATTTTCATTGTAAAGCATATATAGCATATTCAGGTGTTTGCTAGGGTTGTTTTAGGGAGAGAGGATTCCTAAGAATAAGATTGAGGGGTTTCTGCATCTTTCCTAGCATCTCCTGATTAACTTGTTTCTTCAAAAACGGGAGGCTTTGACACTCTTAGTTTCCTAAGTGCTAGTTTAGAGGGGGAAAAAGCCCCCTTTCCGTGTTGTAACACTTGGTTTCCTCAAGCAGCGCTATGACTAGTGAGTACTCAATGTGTATGTAATGTCTCCTAAACCATTGGGACTGCCTGCAGCACTGAGGTTGCAAGAACGAGTATATTGAATAAAACGAAAGGCCAGGACCAGATGGGGAAATGCAGAATGGGAAATAACATAGTAGTGCTCCCAATACACATGCTCATTCCCTTTCCTGTATACAAATGGGAAGGAGAGAAGTCCCTCCCTAAGGTGCCTGTGACCAGGGTGAGCACAGCCTGGAAACAGCTGGGAAACGTTCCCAGCTACCCAAGTATCCTGACAAAGTGGAATGTTAAATCCCAGACCTACAGGGCATGTCCTAGTGGAAAGTTTTTTGATTACAGATGCTTAAAATGTCAGTCTCAATAAAATAGATGGCTAATACTAGCCCTTGACTTAGACTGAGGTTAAGAAATGCTGGATTTGCATCATGCTTGTTTTGAGCTGCAGTCAGTACAGAGGGAAACTGATTGCTGTAAATACCTAGCAATACCCTGTTATTAAAGAAGTCTCCATCTTCTGTAAAGCCTCTACTGCTGTAAAGCCAAGCTGAGGCCAAACTAGGCCCAAGGGACCTGGCTAGAAATGTTGAAAAGGAAACCTGGAAGACCAAGTGGGAACTTTGAGGCTAGACCAGGAAGGTGTAAGAACAACTCTTGGACTGTTATGTGATACCGCAAGGTGACAGTAGCTTTTAGTGCTGAGGGCTCTGCTCCTAGGTCTCCAAGGAGGGAATTTAGCCCCCTTGGCAAAAAAATGCAGACAAGCAGCAGAAAAGGTGCTCCAAGTGAGGGGGTTCTGTGCAATTCTGATTTTCTTATCACTGCTCTCAGAACCAGACTAGGTTTAAGTAGTTTTTATTTCTTGCTCTCTGCTTCTGTTCTTTTCACCCTTACAAACATGATCTAATACATCCTTTGTTGAAGCAGTTTAAAAAAAAATGTGTATTTTGTATGTATAAAGATGTATAATTTTTCCAACCTGTTTTTAAGTTCTATGAACAGATTCCCTGGATGTCTATTCCTGTTCCCAACCATTCTTCTTCATAGACTTTACAATATAACATCCAGTTTTTCTGTGCTGAAAATGGAGTATTACTTCTGTCTTCGTTTCACATTAATAACGATCACTTTCCTCGCCCTAGCTCTATCTTTTCCATTCTAGAACATGTAGCCCTTTAACCTTGCTTTTATCCTTTTTATATGTCTTATTTTTGCAATCATCTACACCCCTTCAAAGATGCCTGTTCCCTCCTTAGGGTGTTGGCAGAGCAGGATACAGCTGTAGTCTCACTGATACAAGAAAAGGCGTTCCTAGCTGAGAAGGGATCATGTCTTTGAATTTGATGGATGGCGATGGAAGGGAGTGCTGTCTTCCTTGGAATGCAGCATGCAGATGCTTTTTCCTATGATAGTGCTGTAGCAGTTCCCTCTGGCTAATTATCTTCCTCAACCTTGGATGTTTCGGCACTGTCTTTATCAGTACAGTGTTATGATCCCAAGGCTAGGCAGCTGAATCATTGCTCCAAACTGGAAAACTTAGTGAATAGTCCCTTGATTTATGGCTTTTATATCTAACCCTTCATAAATACCTCTAAAAGCACTTAACACACACATGGCACAATGTAGAAAACTATAATGTAGGTCCTGTACTGTGTTAGCAAATGAAATAAATAGTCTACCTACTAATCGATATGTATGTAGGGGAAGGGATAAGTGTAGAACACTGTAGTATTCCAAAAGCCATGCTGTGTTCAATATAAACTGCAGAGAAATCATCCTCTACAATAAATTTCGGATCCCTGGCCCTATCCTGAAGCAACTGTTTTAATTCTATTAAAATTTTTAATTCTATTAAAATTCTATTTCTCTTGTGAACCTTGCAATATAGTGCAAAAGGTTTGAAATGGTTTCTTAGTATTGCAATTATGGGACAAATGGGAACTGGAAAAGAAACAGTTAACCCCACTAACACTTTGAGATATTTCAGCTGGGCAAAATCATTACAAAACGAAAAACAACAACAACAGAAACTGTGGCAATGTTCTGATTTTGTCAACTCTGCCAGTGTGAGGAGTTAGTATTCCTGGTCAAGCTGCTGCATTCGTAATGCTGTGTCCTTACTCTTAATTTGCTTCTGCAAACTGGGCCAAATTGAGTGGTTTTGTTATTGTGTTACAGTGAACCATATCACTAAACTGTCCACAGGCTGAGGTTGGGACAGGAGATAGAGATGGTGACAGTCCTTGCAACCCAAATGACAGGCAAATCCCACCTACCATGAAACTACAACCTACAGCTTCAAAACTACAGAATGTAATGATTCAGGTCTTTAACTTTCACATAACTTCTGTATTTGCTCCCACTGGCACAATCCACCATTACTATCAAGATTTACTTTTAAAGATCTTAGTGTTGAGTGAACTCATCCTTAATAAGATCTTGTGTCCCTCTAGGTGTAAATTCTGTTATAGAGCTTTTAGAGTAAAACATATATCATTATGTTTAACACCAAAATATTATTTAGAATCTACTCAGATGCAATAGGGTATCAGATTATATTCTCAGATTACAGGGCAGATTAGATTGTGCAAAAGAATGGAAAATTCAGTTGTCAACCATTTTCGTGCAACTGACAGGAAGCACAATGATTATCCTGTTGTAGAAAATGCAGCATTCTTTTTTTAACTCAGGACAATGTCAGGCTTTTCTAGAGAAAAGAGAAATACTCATGAAATGTGTTTCATTTTCCCCAAAACCCAAATTTTCAGAGCTGTGGGGAAAACGATTATAGAGGTCTTGTCCAGTCAGAAGTTTCAGCTTTTTAATAACATACTTTGATACATAACTCGTTATTTAAATAAAATCAAAAATGGACAATATGATGATAATTTGATAGGGAAATTGTGCAGCTGTTTTAAAGTTAGACTGTGTAGTCAAAAGCATAGCAAAGCTGAAGTGAAAATGAAATGACTAATCTCTGAATAGAGATCCTGACCAACTGGTCTATGATGAAGTCGTATTTGTGCTTGCCGACTTGCAGCTTGAAATCAATAGACGGTTTTGAAAACTGTGTGGAACTACCTTGTAATAAATCCCTGGTTCTCTCTCCAGTTCAATTAGTGTAATTATATTTGTGTGTGCCCATTTGTCTTAACTCTTCTAAAGGCTTCTTTGATTGCCCCTCTTTGCTGAGTAAAGTGGCAGCCACCCTCCATCTAAAGCAAGTGCAATCACTCCTGACATCTAGGATCCAGTCTTGGCCACAAGTGGTCTCCAGTCAGTGCTACATGGCACCTATGAAATTTATTTCAGTGCCATGTTCCTACCTCTCATTGCACTTTGAACCATGCAGAGCTGGCAGAGCAGCCAGAGAATCTGAGAGTCATAGGATCCTTAAGGTTGGAAGGGACCTTTAGAGATGATCTTGTCCAAATTCCCTGCACATGAGGGTCACCTAGAGCACATTACACAGGATCACATCCAGGCAAGTTTTGAAGATCTCCAAACAACCTCTCTTGGCAGTCTGTTCCAGTGCTCTGTCACGCTCACTATCAATTTTTTCCTTAAGTTCCCGTGGAACTTCTGGTGCTTCAGCTTGTGGCCGTTTCCTCTAGTCCTGTCAGCGACCACCACTGAAAAGAGGCCGGCCTCACCCCTCACTCCCTCACTTGAGGTATTTAGACACACTGATCAGACATCCCCTCAGCCTTCTCCAGGCTGAACAGGCCCAGCTCTCTCAGCCTTTCCTCAAAGGGCAGATATTCCAAGCTCCTGATCATTCTCGTAGCCCTGCGCTGGACTCTCTCCAGCAGCTCCACATCCCTCTTGCACTGGGCAGCGCAGAACTGGAATACTCCAGGTGTGGCCTCACTAGGGCTGAGTACAGGAGGATGATCACCTCCCTTGACCTGCTGGAGACGCTCTTCTTACTGCACCCCAGGATCCCATTGGCCTTCTTGGCCACGAGGGGACACTGCTACCCCATGGTCAGCTTGTTGGGCATGAGGCCTAGGTCCCTCTCTATAGAGCTGCTCTCCAATTGATGCATGGGGTTATTCCTGCCCAGGTGGAGGACCTTGCACTTGCCCTTGTTGAACTTCATGAGATTCTCACCACCCAGTTGTCCAGTATGTCCAGGTCCTTTAGAGGGTTGAGTCTCACTTTATTCTTAACTGAACAAACCATTGTTTAACAGAACTATCAGTGGAAGGAACCATGCAGTTGTCAAGTCAGTGTACCAGCAGACTGCGGGCAGTTATATATATTTTAGCATAACTTATCTATAGCATTTATTTCACTTCAAATTAACAAACACCATTACTTTCAGGATGAATTTGTCATTTGTGTGTGTGGGGGGGAGGAGAGGTGAGAAGGGGGAAAGAAAACTCTCTTTGACTTCGAGAAATACAAACCACAGGAGTCCATATATAGGAAATGCAATTTTAGCCAAGTGATTATTTTAGTCTTCGCATGGCCTTTAAAGACAGTACTGGGGTCTACAGCAGAGCTGGTCCAGGAGTCCTCACAACTGATGAACCACTACTCAGAGTTTCAGAGGGAGGGTATGGATTCCTCCTCCTGGATGCCAAGCACCCTTCTCAAGGATGGCGCTTGCTGTGACCTGACAATATTCATAGTGTTAGTCAAAGATTGGCCAAATGTGGAGGAATGGTCCAAAAAACGATACAAAACCCAGAAGTTTTTGTCCCGATCTAAACATGCAATAAAGATTGACACAGGCTTACTATCTCTAATAGGGAAATTAATGAAAACTATGAAATTAATTCCTCAAAGTAACTTCGAGAACATTAGCCAAATTGTCTAGGCAGCTTCATTACTAAAAACTGATTGCCAGTGTGGAGTGTGTTTATTGATACAGCCCTAATCCCCTTGGCGTCAATGGGAATTCTGTGTGGACTGCTGGAGCCAGAGCTTCACCGTGTGTAAAACAGATTTAGAAAAATAGACAAAAAAATGCAAACTATTAATTAACTGATCATTCAGAAAATCAATGTAAGTGTTTCTCATCACTGTATCATAGTAAATGTATGAGTTACAATAGTTATAACCACCTCTTGGTAAGAAAAAAATATGTAAATTGTCTGAATAATTTCCCCCCCACACATGCAATAAAAATCAATGTAAATGTTACAATACTAACAAAGCTCTAACCAGTAAATGTCAAAGGCTGTAATCTTATCACATTAGTTCTGGGAACCTTTTACATAACCCACATAATTTAAATATTTACAAAATATAAACTTTCTTGGCTTATCAAAAATATGTCTTTGCACATTTAAACAACAGAAATCCTTTCACATGATGCGTTTTAGGTCAGGCTTTACATCACTCCTTAAAAATAAACAACCTTTCATGAATGTAAAATAAAACTGAGCCAACATATGGGAGAGAGAAAATATTATCAATATTAGTTTAAATATTTTAGTGGTGTGAGCCAATCCGTAAATTGCACTGTGCACTGGACTTATTTTATGGACATGATTAGCTGGGATGCAATTTCATGAATGTTCTAGCCACTGCTCCTATATGAAAAACAAAGCAAATCATATTTTAAACAATCTTTCACTTAGTTACAGTTTTCAGGGGATAAATCTTGGCATGGCATGTGAAGGAAAATACGAAAAAGATAGTGAACAAGATGGTTGAACATGGCAGTTTATTACACACAATTCCACTGTGGGGGGAATGTCTTTGAAAGACATTCTATAAAAAAAGCCTAAAAAAGCTTCCTATTTTATATAGCATTCATATTCATTTGACTACACTGTAGTTGCCCTCTTTTCTGTGCAACACTTGCTCCACCAAAGCGTTGGGTCATCACTTCCCCTGGGGCCAGAACTCAACTGCATTCACACATATCTCTGAGTAGGAGACATTTCTTTATGTTTTGCAGAGGGCTTTCTGTACAAGAAGCAGATGCTAAGCAAATGCTTCATGGTTAACAACACACCACGTCCTATATTTCTTTTTTTTTTAAACTTGCAAACATGAACCATCTAGGATCCATCTAGTCCCACTCCTAAAAATATGGAAGTAAATACTGTATGTCTTGTATACTCTGTTCATTCTTCTGGCTCTGGCTAACGAGACCTCCTCGAGTTTTCTTTGCCACACATTCCAGCCATCTTCACCACGCAGTGATTGTTAAAAACTTGGAAAGTTTACAGCTGTCCCTGGTCACGGAATTACTTATTGAATGTGTCCCTGGGAGTCTTTTCTTGCCGTTTTAGCTACCTGCATGTGCAGGCTGCTAATCACTTGTTCACACTGCTCTTCCATAGGCCAAAACGCTTGGAAATCCCTTAATTGCACTTTCGTAGGCCCAAATGCTTGGACTGCCCTCTGTTTGGCAGCACCCATGCTTCTGTGGCTGGTGTCTCGTACCTGCACTTGTCTTGGTACTCTGGCAAGGGCACCCGCTGCCTGCGCAGCAGGTAGCTGCACCACGCGGGGCAGGACGATCTGGCCGCGCTCTTGTCCCCAGCCCTACTTGCAGGTGTGCACGTCGGTCATGGTCTCGCACCGTCGGCAGCGCACGTAGCAGCACCAGACGAACTTGCACTCGCACCTCTCCACGTGCCGCACGACGTGTGTGTTGTACCCGCGCCCACAGCAGAGGAGGTTGCAGCCGTCCGGGCCCTCCGATGTGCGGTTACATTCCCTTCCCTGTGTGCCAGGGATCCCCAGTTTATGGTCTTCCACACAGTAATTGGGTGATTTGTTTAGATACAGCAGATCTTCTTTCTGGATTGGTATTTTCCGCTGGCTTTTCTCTTTCCTGCGCAGTTTTTTTTTCACTCTGTCTGATATCTGTATGCTGTTTTCATACTTGTCCTTCAAAAAACGGCCAATCTTTTCAAAGGAGGACATTGTTTTCCAGCAAGTTTTCACGGCACAGGACCCAGAAACGCCATGACATCGGCAGTCCATTGACATCAGCTTTGCTACAGCCTGCAAACAAAGCGAGAACAACGTTTGGGTGCAGCCTTTCATTCGCCGAGCAACCTACCTGACATCTCCAAGCTCTCAATGCTGCAGCTGCCACTGCCACGGCCCTGATGGGGAAGCCAAACCGCAGGCGGGCAATGAACCAGGCTGTCAATTCTGGAGCTTGGTGTGAGAAGCCTGATCTTTAGAAGTGCAAAGCACCTGCACTTTACAACGGCCCAACTTGGCAATATCCAATCATAATAATGGCAGCTTATATTTCTGGCTGGCTTTTCTTCCCAAAGGCTCCTAAATACCTGAAATGACACGTTCTGTGTCACTCCACCCATGGATGGTATGCAAAAGCTCCCTGTGGAGAAGAGGAGGGAGGGAATCAGGGAAAGGATGGGTAAAAGTGCACAGTTTCTAAACTGGAAGAGATTTGTGGACATGTCTATACCACTGCATAAGGATGCCTTGGGAGCAAGCGGTGCCCACAGAGCTGGGCTGCAAAGAAATGCCACTGAGGGAGCTCAACAGTGGTGGCTTCAATTCACATTTTTCGACAGTTGAATTGATATTAATTATTAATAAGTTAGCAAAATTATCACACACAGAACTATTAGCAACATTAAAATGTCCTTAAATGGACTACATTTCAATGCCATTGCAGATTCAGGCACAGGATTACCTGAACAGCAAAGGGAATCCACAGCCTGCAGCCTATATTAAACTTTTACAGTATGAAAGCATTTTGGCACAGTTTATATCACAGTAAGCCTCAAAGAACTGGAATTTGTAAGCAAGCAATAACTTTCTTTTTCTGGGACTGCAATTCAAATAGTTAACAGACAACCAATGTAATATTTCCTTCTGGAAAGGCCATAGAATAAAAGTGCAGTGTTTGACTTGCAGCACATCTCACATTATACTCTGGAAAAGTCTATACACACACCAAAAAAAAAAAAAAAATCACTTGCACAAATATAGCAAAAAGACAAGGAAACATAAAATATGTAAAAAAAAAACTTTTCTATCAACTGTACCACACCTTTGTAGCCCTCTTGTAGATTCATATAGGCCATTATTTAATGGCTTGAAAAGTCATTTTAGCTAACTTTTCCACTATATCTTGTTTCCACAGTAAAGCGAGTCATGAACTTACATGTGAATGTGATTGTTTTAAAAGATCATTTTGGAGGGAATGTAACAGAAAGGATGAATTTTGAAAGAACTAATACAAAGAGCAAATTTCTCTTGAAGCTTTTCATGCAGCAAGACCAAAGTTAAGTTCAAATTATTCCTCTGTGGATGAACAACTATTTCCCACTGAGTGCAAGGAGACCAAGATGACACAACTTTACACTGTTTATTAAAATTCATTCTACATATTCATGTTCTCCACAACCTCCACAAATACTTAACAGTGTCAATCTACATCGTTCCCAAACCGCCATTTCTAAAAGGCAAAGAAAAAAAACATAAAGCAAAGGTACTAACATGTTCCCCCATTTTTCCTACAGAAAGCAGTCTCATCTGTGCCTGTCCTGATTCTGCAGCAAGAATAACACCCTGAAATCCTACAGAACCCACTGAGCCACTGCTGTCACCCATGACCAAGAATAAATTCAAATGTCCCAGGCTGCTTATTTGTATCTCAGACAGTACAAATGTCATCCTCAAAGTTTCGCACAGCTAATCAGGTTCAGACCAGTAAAATGATTTGTTTCTATCCTATGTTTTACAGTGGGATTTTTCATCACTTTGGGACCCAATCCAACATGGTTAAACCCATGGATTTCAGTGGGAGTTGAGGCCTGCTGGCACATTCTGCCCAGAAGATATTGACACAAGCCCAAGCTGGTATCTGCATATAACTTGGCAAACATTAGTAAAAATACACATGACCAAAATGTTTGCTTGGAGTCACATCTTCTTTGGTGAATGAATAGGACTTACTTGTTGGAAGAGGTTACCATGAAGGACAAACAAGCAAGCCATTTACAGAACCATTAGCAAGAAATATCAAATGTATGCCCTAACCTAATAAAGCCATTAGCCTTTACAAACAAAATGTTGTGAAACGAAGCAGAGGATATTTCAGGTCCTGTGGCTTGCATTTGGGACTGCAGGTTTTTTCTCTGTTTTGGAAGAAATAAGAATATTGGAACAAGTAGAACCTCTCCCCGGAGTACACATAGACTTATTTTAGTGGCAGATCAGCCATCAGTAATTCTTGCAGATACTTGTCTTCTCTCCTGCACAGGCTAGTTTCTGCTCAACAGACAAATATGACCCTATGCTCACATCTTCATAATCTATCAATAATGAAATCACTGCTTAGCCAGAATATGCTTCACTAAGGCATAACATTGATTGAGGCAGATGAGAGCAAGGATAGAAAATCATTGTGAGAATATACATAAGCCAATAAAATGACAGGGGAAATGGAAGAACAACATACGAATGTAAATATTATACATAATTTACAAACAGAATGGACTTAATATTTTTCATTTTCCACTCTTTATTTATTTGTGTATCATAACGAGTAACTAGAATCCTAAAGTAGTTTGAAACCACTTGTGTTATAAAACATACAGATGTAACATGCCTTCCCTGCAGTATGTCAAGATACTAATCAAGAAAATAACAACAGGGGAAAAACATGTAATTTTGTTCTGGAAAAATAATTTACTTCTAAGTCTGCTAGAATGAGGCACTATAAAATCTGGATGAAGAAAAATGATACCGAATACATCTGGATGTGTCTGTCAGGTCTTAAGAGTGAGATATTTTGATGTGGACAAATAGCCAAAAGATTTTCTCTGAGGATGAAAACAATGAAAACCAAAAGTAGGTAGAGTTTCTAAGAAAGAGCAATAACTCGTGTTGCAGTCCTAGTTTGGAATCAAAATATAAAAAGGCAGTATATATAACCAGTAAACATGTTCATATAACATCAGATCAATGCAAGCACTGTTAATGTGTCTGAATGTGGTTGAGATTGTCCACAGCAGTTAGAAAGATTTGTGTTCTTATTCTGTGTTACTCAAGATTCTTTTATGAGGTTTGGATATAATCTGTTTTAAAATGATTTATGGTGTCATCACAATTGTGTATGACCCCAGGCTATTGCTTCACAGACGCCAGGATTAGCACAGCAAGTTTCCAGCTAGAACTCGAACTCATTTCGGCCTGTCTCTACCAGTGGCACTAGGAGCTGACATCTTGCTTTGGTCGATCGCAAAACATGGCCTGAAGCTCAAGCTGTCATGTGAGTTTTCATGAACAAGCCCCCGAAGCAGAACATCTGGCAAAGCTTAGAATGTTGGATGAGTTTCACAGGGGCATCTGACTGCAACCTGAAGATGTCCAAGTATAGAAGTAAAACAGAGCTTTAGAAAGATCTTTCTATTCAGCCTGTCCTATCTCGGATTTAGCTGTTTTGCTCAGTAGGGAGCTTCTCAGCCCTGCTGCCCTCACCCTTTCATACAAGTAACCAACAGATATGCACACCTAACTACACTCAACATCACAATGCCAAAGCCTTTTTACCAAGGATAATGAATGTTTACCCCAAGCAGAGCAAAGAATGAAATCTGGAGGAATTCTGAGGTTCCAGCTAGTGTCCCAAACTGTGGACAACTCAAAGAATCCCTATTGTTTTAAAAACAGTATATCTTGTATTTTACAGAATCACATCTGAACCAACTGCCCTGCTCAAGCAGGATCACCTGGAGCAAGTTGCCTAGGCCCATGCCCGGTTGGGTATTGAGATCCTTCAGGAATGGAGACTCCACAATCTTTCTAGGCAACCTATCCCACTGTTCTGTCACCTTAGCAGTAAATAAGCATTTTCTTGCTTTTAAGTGGAAGATTCAACTATGATATGTAAAAATAGAAAATAAGGTTTTGTATGGAAACAGGAAAGGAACATAAGAATTCTCTACTTAACAATACCACTAGCTACTACAAACAAAAACAAGCATTATCGCTAGAAGACAGTTATTGCAAGAGAGAATCAAGAACATAACAGCATTTACTATGAAAAGGTCACAGAATATCAAAATATATTGCCAAACGCCCTTCTTGTAAGCTCCAAAATACGAAGGTCAACTATTCCCAACATATTCTAATATGATTTTTTAAATTGTAAAAGTCAAAAACTTTCCTAAACTTTACTTCAGCTAATATTGTAGTTATAAATCTCAACTACCAACAATAAACATTCCCCTTCACTTTTGACAGTGGTTAAAATGTTTACTTTATCTTACAACCTGCTATTAAGTTAAAAAATATTTATGCATGGAAGCTGAACTAAATATTCTGCATATTCTCTTCCAAGATAATGAACAACCAATACACCACTGCTGCAAAACTGGTATAGCTAAGAATCTTTCAGTCTTTCATGCTTGCAGTGCATCTAAAGTGATGTGGAAAAGGAACAATCACATATACCATGTAGGCACCAAATGAGCCTGTGACAGTGCATTTTCAGAGTTTTTTGCATAGCTCAGTATCATAAAAAATCTGAAGCCCTGGAAGTTCCTCAGAACTTTAGGGTTCCTGTTGAACCACATCCTATTACATGTGCAATGACTAACAGGCTAGCCTAAAGCATCAAGTTTGTGAAGCTATTTTTAGTAAGAGGTAACAATCAACGTGAATAGTAATGGAAGAAGCTACAGCTACATCAAAAGAGAATGAGGATGCCAAACCTAGAACTTTTATGTTCATCCATGTAATTTGGATCTAATATAATTTAGATCAAGTCCAAACTATTCATAGAAAATGAAGCCTCATTTAACTATATCCTTCAACCACTTGCACCTTTAGCTCACCGTCTGAAAATACATAAATATACTATCTTTGGCGGCACTACCAGCTCAATGTATGCTTCCCCTTGGCTAGTCATTCCTGTCCCCTCTCTCATAGTAGGCCCAACTCATTGACCACTGTTGATGAGATGAGGGAACTCATCCAGCTTTACAGAAATCAACCCAGAAAAAAAAGTTTCTCTTCTGTGTGAGATGCTCACTGTTTTTTGGGCAAAGTCTTCAGTTCTTTTTTTGTTTTGTTTTTTTGTCTTGTTTTGTTTTAAAACTGACAAGGTTCACAGTGCAAGGCCTCAAGCCTGGCACATACGCAGAGGCAGCTTTAAAACAGCATATGCAGGAATGAGTGATGAGCACAAGGATGGTGCAAAAGACCAAAAGTGAATACTGCAATTGGAGACAAGAGGATAGCACATTATATTTTCTGCTAATCTACACCACACCAGAGGCAGAAGACAGAGGAACGTATCAAAGAGGTCTGCGTAAACAAAACCTAGCACATCTACTTGCAAACTATGAAAACAAGGCTATTTAAAATACGTAATTTGGTGCTACCTCAGCTCTTCTTATGATAATGATTTACTAGCATGGGTGACTGGAAAGTTTTTTCAGTAAAATCCACTGATGCTGCTCCAGGCTACAGGAAATTACAGAGTTAAAATGGGGTCCAGCATGCACGATCCAAAATGAGGCCAAAACTAGAGGGTCTACCTCTCTTCAATTATAGCTCTGTTACAGAGCAAATTTAAAGAATTACTGGGCTACAGAGAGACAATAAAAACTTGTGAGGTTAAAAAATCATGAAAGAAAGCCGAGAAACTATTTTTAAAGCAAGAAACAGAAGTGAAGTCTCTGCCATTCCAGATATAGCCCTACTCATTATATTCTGGAGTCAGAGGCCCCTGCACTGCCTGTTCCTGTCCCCATTACTTGGTCTTGTCCCCATCATGTACAGAAGGATGACACATGGACTCCAAGATTCACTCCTGCACACTCCTCTACCATTTGATCATAAGAATATTTCCTGTGCAACAGGAGGTTTGAATTGTCTTGTATTGAAGACCTCTCTGGAGCAAGCCTCCTCTCTTTTTTTTTTTTTTTTTTTTTTTTGTTGAGCATTCCAGCCAGTAGGCAACTTCAAGATGGAAATGGCACTTTTATCCCATATTTCAAAATAAAAAGTTAAACCTAGATTTGTTCCATGAATGTTTATGTCTTCTGCTCTCAGGAAATGAATGCGGATGATTCCAGCTGGGTAATGGTGCATGATGTCAATTCAGTCTGCTCAGAATTAGAATTTATAATGCAGTTGATGATAATAATAGAACACAGCAGATAATAAGAAAATCCTCATACAATGAAGAACATACAGTGAAGAAACTTCACACTTCCTCATACAGTGAAGAAACTTCACATATTGTGAAGAAACTAGTTAAATTTGATATTAGTTAAAATATGGATATTTGAGATTATTTTGAATAGTACTCCAGATCATATACTTACTTGGTGGATTTTATTTTAAACTGTGAAATACGTTAGTCAAAAACAGCTTTGATTTCAGCTTTGTACATGTTTGCTTTGGATGTCTTAGTGGAGTTCTTGCCATTGGCTCCATTAGCACCTGCATTCGGGCTCACGCCTCACTTGATTAATGCCATTTTGGCAATGAAACCTAACATGCAATTGTTCCCATCTTTTAATGGTCAATACGTACCTGCCTCCCAGCCTCGTTATTGTGCAGGTTCATCACGGCCAGTCTGCTCCCGCTCTTGCCCGTGACGTTCTTGAGAGGCACGTCCAGGAACTTCCTGCTGAATGACATGCCGTAGTGGATGTCGTCCGAGCAGCCGCCCCAGTGCCAGCCCTCACTGGCCGAGCCGCCGCTCTGCAGGCTGGCATCGCACGAGCACTCGGTCACGTTCCCCGCGCTGCACGCGCGCGTCACCGAGTGCACGAGCCCCGCCGCCGTCACGGCGTGTATGAACGCGCTCTCCTTCGTCCCTGCAACGACACGCGTGGGTACGTTGCTGCAGGGCTGCCTCTCAACAGCTTCCGTGGGGTGATGGAGACGTCAATTTTATAAGCCACATTACTATCAAAAGGGAATAGTTTTGTGTCTAAAGCCACCATGGCTTGATCTGCATGGTTAAATCATTTAAAGCAATGGTTATTCACATCCAAACAAGACTTCAGGGCCTATTCATACGACTGCACTGTTAACTGAGCTGTTTCTGGCTGCTTTATATGAGTTATGGCAACCTTCTAAATCCAGTTTGGAATTTTATTTGCCACAGAAACTTTCAAGCAAACTGAGTTTCAATTAAAATTAAAACTCCCCAAAGCCTTACTCACCATGCTGCTTTTCACCATATTAATTGAATAAGAAGAAGTTAGTTCAGATCTTGGAGGAGGAACTCAAGGCTATCATGATTCTAGGTTACTTTCGTACAGGGCCAGAACTTACCTCATGCTAAATATAGCAAATATGAGGTTATTCTAATTCACAAAGGTTGTAAAGAGCCACAAAAATCTTGAACCAGTCAGAAATTCAGATGGCAAAAATGGCACAAGAATATTTAGGCTATGTGTATTTCCTATAACAAGCTGTCCATAGGAATGACAGTAGTATAAAAAGTCTTTATACCATTACACCACAGAAGAATCACAGAGTTAACTGTCTGGCCAAATTCTGTTAGACCTGTGGCATAAAGTGGTATAAATCATTAAACAGTACTAAGCATAGCATGCCCTCTAAGCAAACCTAAAATCAACACCTGGCCAATTAACTGCAGCTAAAATCTCACTACACTAATTTATACTGTTGTCAAAACAAGTTGTTATTTCCATTCTCTAAAATTCTTGCTCAAAAGTTCCTGCTCAGTTCTCTACTTCACATTGGACTGTTGTGCAGTTCCCACCAAAAAAATATCTACACAAAGTATACGACCAGAGCTCCTTGTGTAAGCAGTGTCACTTACTTACAGATCTGTAGGACCAGCCCATCTCATCAGATGGTGAGAGTAACACGCAGTACACATACATACAGACTACACATGGGGCTAGGTTTTGTTTTGTTTTGTTTCTTTTGGAATGTGTGTCATTTTATTCCTTATTTTTATGCTTTTTTTTTTCTATTAACATTTATTTCTTCACAGGTGTTCTATAGTATATGGTCAAGATTGCACAAACACAAATTTGGGTCCTGTAACAGTTAATGGAGTTCACATCAACAGTTACACTGAATTTAGTGAGCACAGCACTCTAGAAACTTGCAGGACCAAAGACTTCCCTTTGAAACTGCCTTTTAATGCAACCAAAATGCTCCTAATTCAGAGTGTATTTCAGCTCCTGCACTATCCGTTCATCTAGTAGGAGCTTTGAACGTGCTGAGCTGAGCAACTATCCAAGTGAGCGTGTGTGATGCATTTAAAGTGATTCACAGAGCACTCGGTGCTGTGAGCAGATCGCTACCTGCAATCCAGCAACGCTGGAAACGCTGCATGTCACTGCCTCACTGGTTTAGTAATCACAGCATAAGTAAGGTGATAAAGAGTAAGTAAGATGTCAAAGAATAACAAGATTTCAACACAGTTAAGTGGATCAAGTCAGCAGCACCGTCATCCATGTCTGCGCTAAGTCAAAAATTAAAGTAACTAGTGATAATTTTGGAAAGACAAAGGCAAGTTGTGTCTGCTCCGTGATTCCGCGTGCCTGGCGCGGGCAGCTGCAGTCACCGCCCGTCGGAACGGCTGCTCTTTGCCCGATTGGCGATGGGGACGGGGCCCGACGGCGGCGTCGGGACAGGACCGGGGCCAGGACCGGGATGAGGGTCGGGGTCGGGACCGGTGCCCGTGGCGAGACCAGGGCCCGTGGTGCCGCGGCGGGCCGGGGTCGCGGTCGGGTCCCGCCTTGGTGGCGCGCGCGGGGCTGTCGCGCACTCACCGCTGCTGAGCTGGTGGCCGAAGGCGGCGGCGGGGGCGCCGGGGCGGCGCGGCGCGGGCGCGGGGCGGCAGTCCCAGCGCTCGTGGCGGAACTGGCTGCGGCACTCGTGGAGGCCGAGGCGCGCGCCCTCGCGGATGGCGCCCACCAGCTCCGGTCTCTTCTTGCACAGCTCCTTCTGGCGGCTGCTGAGCGGCGGGCTGGCGCAGCCCGGCCTCTCCGGGGCCATGCCCAGCCACCTGCAGAAGCGGGCGCACCGTGAGCGGGCACCGGGCACCGCCGCGGGGCTCCCCCCCGTCCCGCGCCCGCTACTCACATCCAGTTGCCGCCCGCGGCGCCGGGGCAGAGCGGCAGCAGCAGCAGCGGCGGCAGCAGCAGCGCGGCCCGTCCCAGGGCAGCCCCGCGTCCCATGGCCCGCGCATGGAGCCCCCTCGCCCCCCTGGCAGGAGGGAGCGGGGGCACCGTGGCGAGTGGGTCCCCCTTATTCCGCTGTCACCTCCTCGGGGGGCAGCGCCGGCCCGCGACCCTCGCGAGGCGGCTGCGCCGGCGGCGCCAGGGCGGGCATGGGCACAGTTTTATTCCCGTGCAGGTGAGAAAGTTGGGACTGATCTTTTCCCCGGGCTCCATCCCGTGGCTCTGCCCCTCCTGGCCGCGCATTGGTGGCCCGGGACACGGGGCGGGACGGGGCGGGAGCGGCGCCCTCGACGGCAGCTCCGCGGCCGCTTCCGCGCCGACCCGCGGGCGGCTCCGCTCGGTCCCTATCTGCTGCCCCGTCTGTCCCGCCAACGGGAAGGGAAAGAGCGCACGGATTGATAAAACGCTAAATGTTAAGAAATTGTATGTTTTTTTCCCACATGTTTTACTCAAACTCCCTAAAGCTTTACCCATGCTAATCATTAGAGTAGGTCCAGCATCAGCTTTCACTAGGGCAGCCTTTCTACATTACTGTTGACTTCACCTAGACACTTTCATCAACTACTGCCTTAGTAATTATCAGTTATTCATTTAGCTAGTACATTTTAAAATGAAGATTTGCTTACAACCTGATGCCAGGGCTGGGATTGTTGATCTGAAATATCCAGACTTTTTGACCACATTGTATTTCTGATTCCTTTTGTGCAAGTGAAACACCTGTGTTACAAATAGATGTCAGCTCTATAAAGGCTTTTAGTTTGACACAGTTGTAAAATAGCTCTTGTTGACTGACAAAAGCTCCAAGCAAAGAGCAAAATAAATCATCACAACTGACAGATGTGTGTTTTTAAGAGTGTAACAGATAGGGAAATAATCACACAGATGTCATGCTCCCCCTCTCCTTTCCCCTATCAATGTGCTGTGTGATTTTAAGACTGTAATAGATTTAGATGTGTAAAGCTAGCCGTCTCCATCCTAGTCCATGTTCATTTGCTTGCTCTTCAAAGGTCTTTGTAATATGACCAGTTCTGTGCAGATCCCACATGATCCAGGAGCTATTTTAACCTCCTCACACAGTTTTCTCCCCTAAGCTTTGTCTGGAGAACATCTGCTTGTGGTTGCAAAGGAACTTAGTAAGGACTGGGGAAAATGGATAGAGGACCCCACTGGAACATGATGACCTGGCCATGAAACAGGCCTAGACCAGCAAAACTATGTGGGCTGGGTTGGAGAATTATCTAATTATTTCAGGACATATGGTTCATTTTATCCTCATTGCTGCTTCCTGGCTCCACCCATTAAAGTTAATTCAAAGCCCTAATCTAACAGCAGTGTATTCTTATGCCCTTCTTGATTTATTTTATATCCTCATATGATTTTTTTTTCTCTGCCAGTTCTTTTTTCTTTTTTTTTTTTTTTTTGTTTTTTTTTTTTTTTTTTTTTGGTTTGTTTCTTTTTTTAAAATAGGCTAGAGCCTTTGATCCTAAATCTTTATATATGACTTTTTTTTTTCCCCTAGAAGAATCCTGCATTTTCCTCTAACAATTTAGTTGATATACAAATTGGAAAAATATTAACTTCAAGAATTCTAATCCTATTTTTTCATGTTTTATATATCAAATAATAAATGAATTATCTCTCTGTCAGATTACCATGTAATGGGATCTGTTTTTTTTCTACATGCCTGTTCACATTTTTTGCTACAGTAGTCAGGGAAGCCCTTTGATTATATTAACTCATGCATAAACTGAAACAGTTGCAATTAGGGGGACAATTGCTGAAAAGTATGAACTGTAAAGGCACCTATGGAGGTTGTCTAGCTCAATCTCTAGCAAAATGTATTTTTCCATGAGCATCTGATTCAAAGAAATTTGGATTACTCAATTACATTGGATATTTGTGTCCTAATCCCTCATCTGCCTCAGCAATTTCTCTTCCCACCTATCTCCCACCATTACCCACAGCCTCCTGAGCAAGTTCTGTGGCTGTTACTCCCATCTCTCCACCAAATCCCCTTGCATCTCCCCTTTCACAGGCCTCCCACTTACCTCCTAAATTTCTGCCACTCTGATCTTGTTTTTGTTTTTGTTTGTTTGTTTGTTTATCTCCAGCAAAACTCTCTCACCTGTCCAAAAAGCAGCACATACACTGGAATGTCTATTCCTATGAGCTATGTGTGCATACAGATCAGCTGGTTACTGGCTGGGCTACTGGTGAACAAGGAGAGAACAAACTATTTTGCAAGCTGTGAGGTATGTGCTTTGCAAAATAAGAACACATTATTTTGGAATCCCTCACTGATCTGTCAGAATTTGTGGAAATTCGCCAGAAGATTCTCAAGTTTTTAGGATGTACTGGTATATCAGTAACCAATGTGGTCATATAGAATAACAAGACAAGAATAACAAGACAATAACAATAACAAGAATAAAAACTTGGGAGCATCAAGTTAACCGCTTGTGATTACTCTAAATTCTGTTTCTTAACTCCACAAATAGTGCTTAACTCCACAAATAGATCTGCTGTAATTAGATTACTTAAATATTAAGACAGTATTCTGGCAAGGAAATTAGAATACAAATCTTTCTAATTCTGCTTTGCTGGTGTGTTGGAGCTACCTGTGTTGGTAGGGTGTTGATGTTGGTTCATTCCATGAACTACAGGCAGCAACATGAACGATAAAGTGACAGTGAAACAGAATTCAAGCTAAGGTCAAGTGTGAAGGCCAAGTGATCCAAATTTACTATAAATCAGAGAAGTTAAAATGGGCTTGTTGCTTATCTTGCTTTCTCTGTCCAAGGTGGAGCTTTCTTAGACTATTCTAACTGAATGCCAACTTCTTTTTATTCAAGTTTAAAAAAACCAATAAACTATTGTTAAAATAAAATGGAAATGTGTCCAAGCTGAGTGGTGTTTCCTGACTGGGCATTTACTGTTTTGTTGTTTAATTATGACTAATGCAATCTTGACAGAGCTAATTACAGAGATGTATTTGTTGAGATTCTCAGTTGGACAGAGAAAGTTACTCTGTTGTGCAGAAATTGTGTGGACAAGCAGATCACTCATGGATAATATGTTTGGAAGACATAACTGTTATCTTTAGAAGGAAGTCAGTGGCGCTTATTCTTACTACATTCAAAGTCTGTCATCTATTTGCTGGATGCAAAATATGTACAAAGTTAAACTCTTTTTCTGAAAATGTCACCATGTCTGATAGCTTGGTTTAAATGATTTTCCTTCTCCCAGAGCTGCAGCTGCTCAGTAAAGACATGATAAAATCAACTCAATAAGCAAACTGGACAATCTCACCTATATGTATATAGGTTCTACTGATGAACAGAGTAATTAATCATTCCCATTTCCTAAAATCTGAGTCAAGATAAACCTATGGAACCAGTCATCTGAATAGAAAACTCTCATGTAGTCTCTAAACCAGATTAATCCTTCAGCTATGAAATTTATCATGTTTGGTGACCAAGCATAAGCTATGTACTAATTCAGCTAACATGCTTTCAATCCATCTCCATAATTAGCTGCATGATGGTATCCATCAGCCCTAGCAATCTGGGAAGTGCTGAGTCTATGCATTGGTGAAATTGGAGACATTTCGGCATTGGGTGTTGTCATCAAGGCTTGTATATGTTGGCAGTGACAAACTCCGTCCCTAAAGAGAGTACCCCACTGGGTTGCAAGTGCAATGTAGCTGCAGAGCCCAGAAGCGAGTTCACTTATTAGTTAAATGTCCCAGGCAATACCAGTGCTAGGCAATAACCTGATACCACTTCAGATGTGTATCTCACTTCTAAATGTACAGCTCTAGGTGTTTCTGGGATTCTTTTCATTGTTTAGTAATTACACGATGACTAATAGATAGAAATTCTCAAATATGTATAATAATTTCATTTTTTTTATAATACTCACACAACACTATATAAAAAACACATTTGCCATGTGCATGGATATATGAGAAAAGGAGAAGTAGATCTGGAAGGCAAAAAAGGGGCAAGCATCCCACAATCTCTTCCATGCCTTACCAAGGATCCATAAGAAACTCATTAGAGTCTCCAAGTTAGTTTCTTGGAACAAATGACTTCACTGACAGTTGCTAAAGCAATAGCTAAGCAGATCTCCTGGCAATCTGTTTCCACTGGTGATGCACTGCCAGAAGGCCAGGCCTGAGGAAGAGAAGACTCACATTGACTTTGAAGTCTGCAGTTCCCTATGACTGGAAATTTGGAGACAGTATACTGGATTTACACATTTTTACATAGACACTGGAGATCTACTTATATTTTGGGGTGTGCTGGAAGTAGCTCCAGGTTTCTTCTGAGGCGTTGTTGGCAAATTCTGTCCCTGACATGGATATTCTAAATCTAGGTATGACTTAGATTTTAAAACAGTGTCAGACTCCGCAAAGGGTGTGATGTAGACATTTCTTTTTGCAAATGTGGAAGCCTACTTTACTCAGAACTTCTTCAGATAAGCGGGATACACTCTGTGTATGTGTGTTTGTGTGTGTGTGTGTGTATAGGTGGGTGCATGTGCGTATGTGGGTAGATTTGTGCACACGTGCATGCACATTTAGGTATGTGCAGCATACTCACAGGCAAGGCATGTACTTTACTTTTACAACAACTAAAGGAAAGTAGGAGAGCTGCTTCCCTAGAAGCTTTGTTGTCTAGAAGGATGAGAAGACCTAGGAACCCTCAATTCATGCTATATTCCTTTCTCAATTGCTAATTTGAGTTTTGCACAGAATGCTTTTGTAGTAATAATTTTGGAATGTTTGATACTGATTCATATGTGCAGAACTATTGCCATTCTGTGGTGAGAGACCTGGGATTCAGAGAGATATTTAACTTGCTGATGGCACATCATCATCACCACAGTTGTAAACTCATTTTTTATTACTAATTCCATATCTAAATTACTACTTTCTCCAGCAAGTTACTTACCCTTTAAGTAAGGATATAAAAGCACAAGAATCCACTCTACTACTCTTGTAATACAAAGCATGCACTCAGTTTATCATTTTCTCATTCACAGAGTTATTGATTTGAGCCTAATCTGTAAAACATTCCATCTAGTCATCAGATTGCTTACACTGTAGGTGTGAATTTACCTACAAGGCTAGTTACAGAAACAGGGAACTCTGAAACAAGTGGGAAGGAATGGCAATGTGTTCACAACTACAGGGCACTACTAATCACTGATCACCTGCAATCTGGAGTTAGCAGGAAAGA